CCCTTCTGGGGCACCCAGATGTCCCGTGGACACTGGTGTTGCTCTGACCACAGCCTACGGCCCTGGTCTCCCTCTCTAGCCTGTGTGTGCTTCAAGGGAAGGGACTCTGTCTTATATATCTTTGTTACCCAGTGTTTAATACAGCATGTTCCATATGACAGCCACCCAATAAAAGTAGGTGACTAAATGAATAAAAAATTTGTCGTACAGCTTTTTCATTTCTGATGCTTATCTCATTTGATTTCATGTGGTAGTCTGGCCATGTATGAAGCCTCTGTCATGTGTATGCTCTGAGCTAGACTTGGTGATGGATGTGATACGGGCTGGACTGACATGTGGTGAACTTGTGACCAACATGATCCTGAGACATGTGAAGAACACAATGGGCATTTGAAGGAGTTCAGCCTCTGTGACATTGTAAAGAATGTATTTGGTCCCCATTCTGACATACAATTCCAAAATCCTTGGACTCTCCAAAGTGATAAGAGAATCTTTTTGTTGCTAATAAGTTGGCTGATGGCTGGCTGCCCCTGGGTAGCTTCAGGATGGGGGTCAGCCACCGGATAAACGAAGGCAGGACTAGGAGGTTGGGACTTCCCAGGAGTGGAGAGTGCCTGAAGTTTAGGTTAATCAGTCATGCCTACCTAATGAGGCCTTAAAAACCCAAGAAGCCTGGGTTTGGCGAGCTTCTGGATAGCTGAACTTGAGGAGATTCCTGGAGGGTGGCATGGCCAGGGAGGGCACGGGAGCTCTGTGACCCTCCCCCACACTCGGCCTGTGCATCTCTTCATCTGTATCCTTTGTAATATTCTTTATAATAAATGGGTAAACATAAGTGCTTCCTTGAGTTCTGTGAGCCGCTCAGCAAATTAATCCAACCTGAGGAAGGGCGCGTGGCGACCTGGATTTATGGCCAGTTGGTCAGAAGCACAGGTGAAACAACCTGGGGCTTGCGACTGCATAGGTAGTAGGGGGCAGTCTTGGGGACTGAGCCCTTAACTTATGGGATCTGACAGCACCTCCGGGTAGATGCTGTCAGAACTGAATTGAATTAGAGGACACGCAGCTGGTGTCTGCTGCAGAAGTGGTTGCTTGCTGGTGGGGAGAAAACCCTACTCATTTGGTCATAGAAGTCTTCCGTGTTGATAGTTGTGGTGTGAGAGAGTAGAAAAAAGAGTGTTTTTTTCCCCTCCCAGGCTTGTTTCCCCCCAAAGTAAATGGAACAAATGAATCAGGTTAATGGGGAGAAATTGTGATTTGGGTGCCTGTTATTGGAGGTTTCCTGAGTAGCGATAACTTACTTTTACAAAAGTGCATGGAAAGAGGGAGGACACATGGAGTGGCAAGCCAGAAGGCAAATGATCCCACTCGGGTAATAGATCCGTGTGGGAATATACACACAGCCACGTGCAAGTACTCAAAAAGGCCTGGAAGGAGACACACAGCCCTGCTGGCAATATTTCCCTCTGGACGGCAGAGCGGGGCTCAGGGAGGGGAGAGGAAGCAGGCGGGGGGTCGGGGTGGCAGCGGGCAGAGGACTTTCAAGTAGAGTCCACATAATTATGTATAACGAGAATGCATTAACACATCAAAATTAATTACCCTTGGGTAATCAAAGAAGTAAACACACACACACACACACTCCACACACACACAAAAGAAGAACTTTAATCCATATCTTGTACATATATGACAATTAATTCAAGTTCGATCTTAGCCTAAATGTAAAAAACCTAAAACTATAAAACTTCTAGAAGAAAGCATAGGAGAAAAATCTTTGTGACCTTGAGTCGGGCAAAGATTTTTTAGATACGACACCACAAGCATGACCCACAAAAGAAAAAATTGACAGTTTAACTTCATTAAGTTTAAAATTTTGTGTGAAAGATGTTGTATTAGTCCGTTTTGTGTTCGTATAACAGAATACCTGAGACTGGGTACTTTATAAAGAAAAACGACATTTATTGCTTACAGTTTCTCAGGCTGGGGAGTCCAAAGTCCATCTGGTGGTGGTGACAGTGACCCAGGGATCTCACATTGCAGGATGGTGGAAGCAGAGAGAGAGAGAGAGAGACAGACTCTCCTCTTTTAAAGCCCTCAGAACCACACCCCTGACCACCATTTTTAATCCATTCACTACTGCACTGTCCTGCAATCCAGTCACCTCTTCAAGGCTCCACCTTTCAATGACCATAGTAGGATTTTCCACCCTCTTAACAGTCACAGTGGGGGCTAAGTTTCTAATACATAAAATTAGGGTGACACATTCAAGTTTCAGTGAGTTTGGGGAGACATAATTCAATCCACTACAGTTGTTGTTAAGAGAATGGAGAGACAAGCCACGACCAGAAGCAATTTGTGAATCACTATTTGATAATTTGTTTCTAGAATATATAAAACTCAATAAAAATAAAATAAATAAAAAATTTAAAAACTCAGTAAAAATAGGCAAAAGATTTGGACAAAAATTTCACCAAAGATGTATGCATAGCAAATAAACACATAAAAAATGCTCGAAGTTAGTAGTCATTAGGGAAATACAAATTAAAGCTACAGCTTTGGTACAATTTATACACTTAGAATGGTTGAAACGAGAAAGACTGACTGTAGGAAGTCAGCGAGGAGGTGGAGGAACTGGAATTCTCTTACATGGCTGGTGGGACTGTAAATGTCACCACCACACTGGAAAACATAAGCATATAACCACCATGTGACCCAGACGTTCCCCTCCTAGGTATTTATCCAAGAGAACTGATAACACACACGGACTTGTACGTGATGTGCACGGTAGCTCTGTTTGCAATAGCCCCAAACTGGAAACAACCCAAATGCCCATCAACTGGTGTCTGCGGGTGGGGATGGGGGAGGGGCAGGATTACAAAGGGGCAAGAAAACCTTTTGGGGTGATGGGTATCTTCATTATCTTGATTGTGGTGACAGTTTTACAGGTGTATACATATGTCAAAACTTATCACATAGTACGCTCTAAGCATACAATTTATTACATGCCGATTATACCTTAATAAAGCTGTTACATATAGGAATTAACAATGATGTTCAGTTTGTTAAACAAAACAAAACAAAACAGAAAAACTGGAAGATAATAACCTGCAAGATTCAAGGGAATGATGGAGTTAAAGGGATTGGGAATGCTGTAGTATTCAAGCAAAGATTAAGGAATGTTCAGATATTAACTGTAGCCTTTATTAAGGATGCATGTACAAATTCCAGGCTAGAAATACAGGGCATACCCTCCACACTGTAGAAGGTGTAAGAAAGAACGGTGTAAGAAAAGGAACAAAATTACAGACAGAACTGAATTAAAAGAAGGCAAGAAAGAAAATGAGAAAAGGGCCACTCGTTTTCAGTCTGTCACTGTCCTGGCCGATGTGGTTCTTTCAAGATGGGCAGGGCTGCTGTGCCCCAGGCTGGGGGCTCCAGCACTTCAATCCAGCCCGCAGTGCCCGTCCTGGCTGTCAGCACCGAGTTGCTTTCACATTCTCAAAATGCTGCAGGCGGAGGGCCCTTCCTTGCACATCTCAGGGCTCTGTACCTTCCCTACTTCTGCTTTCTTTTCCCTGTCTGCCTCCTGGGTGAATTTACAAAATCTCTCCTTAACGGACCTCAGTGGATTAGAATCATGATATCCAATTCTTTTTCAGGGGAAAGTGGGGAAGGAAGGTTGCAAATCATCTGTGTTTTCTATAAATACTCCCTTTGGTGTTGAAATATTTATTTATTTTTCTAAAAAGATGACCGGTAAAGGGATCTTAAGTATTGACTTGGTGTTGTCAGCACCACGCTCAGCCAGTGAGCTACAGGCCGGCCCTGAAATGTTTCTTTGAAAGAGAGGTTAAATGATAGTTTATTAGTATTGTCGTTATATCTAATATCCCAATTTGGCAAAATTAAATGTTTGCAACTCTTCGATGTTCCTCCAATTTTTTATGAAGTTTTACCTTTCAGCGAAAGTCCCCAAACTGGAAACCATTGTTCTCAGGAGAGGCAAGTGGGAACTTGCTGCATTCTCTTGTTTAAGGGGATTGAACAGAATCTCACCTATGTACAAAGGATGGCAGTGCTGAATATTTTGATGGACAAATATAAAACCAAGGTGTATCAAAATAGAGGACTGCAAAGTGGCATCTGGTGAAGGGCTGGTCTTTCTCCCTTGCCTGTGGGGGTGGTGGGAATCAGGGCAGTGTCTACAAGTGATACGTGGGTGTCTGAAAAATCCACCGAAACTTGGAATTCCATGAACGCCAGTCCTAGGTTGCCTTGGAAGTCTCTCTGCCTCAAGAAATATATCGATTTATTTACTCAGAACACAGTCTGCAAATGGGCAAGGGGCGGGAGTGGGATGGCTTAGCTGGCTGGCCACCTCCTTGTCTCCAAGAAGCCCTGGCTGCAGTAGGTGACAGGTGGAGAGGACAGGAGGGTTCTTTTCCTCTAGGGCAGTCACAGCTGAGGGATTTTTCAAGGGGAAGCCTGCTTTGGATGAACTTTTGGTGTCTGAGATAACCTGGAACTTGCTACTTGCTACCTCCCCGACCATCTGGGCCCATACAGTGCCCTGATCCCGGGCAAGAGCTCAGACCTGGGGGCTTCTGCTCCACCTGGAGAAGGTAAGTGGTGCACACCCTTCCCGAGGGCCCTGGGCTCTGGCTGGCACCTTCCGGTGAGCTTCTCTTCCTTCAGCAGACCGACCCCACCTCCTCCCAGCCCTGCAGGCCCTCTGAGCTCTCACCGCAGGGGCATTACTGAGCCTTCTCCCACCACCTCCACAGGGACAGGTGCAGAGGCTGGTGAGGAATTCGAGAAGCACTAATTGAAAGGCCCTGGTGGGAGTTTCCACATGTGCAAATCCTTCTTAGAGAAATCTCCAAATGCAGATAAAGCCCTGTGCAAAGACCCACCACACTGTTATTTATAATAGCAAAAATAGAAGCAAATCAAATATATAGTGATAGAGAATTGGTTAAATAAATTGAGGCACATGATACGATGAAATATGCAGCTGATAAGCATTTTATTTCTAAAAGGCTCATAAAACATGGAGAAATGATTATGATGTATTTATTAAGTGGGAAAGGCAGTAAACAGAGTTGTACATACATGATAATTACTCTGTAAAATGCACACCAGCAAATTATGTGGAGATAAAAAGACTGAAAGGAAATATAGCAAAGGGAAATAATGATTGTCTCTGGGTATTGGTGAAGTCGACTACAGGTGACTTTTTTTCTTGGTTTTTTTTTTTTTTTCTTCTCATCTTTCTAAGTTTTGTATACCGAACAACCCCCCATTTCACTTTTTAAAGAAAATGGAAAAAAATAGTAGTTCTGCTACTCTACCCCTCAAACCCCCACCCCTTCTTCAGGGGGCTAGACTCAGGGTCAACTTCGGTCCCTCCCTCCTCCCTTTTGACACCCACCTGCACTCTGGCAATCAACCCTTTCTAGACCATGAAGGAGCCAAGCTTTTCTCCATTTTTCCAAAGCCAGGAATGCATGGCTGGGGAGGGAGAACAGAAAGGCAACCAGTGCCTGCCAGTCCTGGGCTCACCCCTTCCAATGTGCACCTGACCGGGGCCTGGACTTGGTGGGCCCCAGGAAAGCCTCCAGCTGGGTCATGGTGTCATGGACAGAGCAGCCCCTACAGGGGGGCAGATGGGAGACTCCACACCCAGAACATAGACTCTCTAAGCCGGAAGAGGCTGAGAGTTCTCAGCCCACTGGTCCTCAAACTCGAGTGTGGAACCCCTGGGTCACTTGTTAGAAATGCAGAGCCCGGGGCCCCGCCCCAGAGATGGTTTTGGTGGGTCTTGGTGGGGCCCAGGAATCACACTTTTAACCAGCTTCCTGAAGGGCAGGTGGTCCACAGCCACATTCTGAGAAATCAGAATCCAGGCCAAGCCCAGCCTGTTGCCTCCTCAACACCTGCGGATGCTGGAGAATGTGGCGTTGAGTCTGAGGACAGCTTGGAGGCAGGAGAAGGTGGGGGCTGGAAGGGGCGAGGGCGGGGCCAGTTGCTGGGCTCCTGGGCCCAGGGGATTTCCTGGAGCAGATCCAATCCCAGATCCACTGAGCCCTGCCTGGCCCCGGGGAGGGTCCAGCAGCTGTGCGCCCTGCCTGGGGACGTGCACATATTGGAGAGACCCTGTCTCCAGCTGGAACTCTGAGGCCGCTGCTCCGGGCTCCAGGGCTGAGAGATCCTTCTAGGTCAGGCTGAGGCATGCAGGAGGAGAGCCTGGGGAGGGCAGAGGAGAGCGCGGGAGTCCAGGCAGAGCGACTCTGAGGCTGTGGTAGAAAGTGTATGTGAACTAGTGCAAATCCAGCCATTCAGCTCTGCACTGGCCCGGCCGGGAGGGTGTTCTGTGGCTAGACTGAGGTGAACTTCGAGAAGCCCATCTCCTCCTCAGCCATGTGGACGGGGGGCACTGGCAGAATGTCCCCCTTGGGGTCCTGGGGAGAGGCCTCTTCTTCCTCCGTAGTCTGTAAAGACAAAGGTAGGGGTTGAAAAGCAGAGCCCAGCTAGGAGTGGGGTGGTGCCCAGGTAGCTGTTGGGTCCACCCCAACCTTTGCATAAGTTCCAGACTTTGTCTATCTGCAGGGGCACAGGACCTAACAACTTCTCCTCCCAGAGCCCCCAGGCTCTGATTCATGTCCGCCTCCCCCCTCCCAACCCTTCCCTCCCCTGGGACAGCAACCCTCATGGCCTCAGTCCAGGTTTTGGCGCAGATGTGGGAAGCCTGCCAGCCTGGAACTCTTTAAACCATGACTCCCAACAAGCTATTCAAGAATTTTCTGGACCAGAAGAAAGAGGATGTGAGGTCAAGAGCCCTGGCTTCCCGGGTGAGATGGCCCAGGCCTATGGCTAGGTGGGGGAGGTGGGCGGATGCAGGGGTGTGGAGCTGGGGGAGTGGATGCAGAGGAAACAGTCCTCCCCCACTTCCCCACATTGTCACAGTGGGGTCAGGCAAGGTGGCTGCAGACCCCTAGGTCTCTTCCGTCCACACCTGGCTCAGGCACCGGATCTCCACATAGGGGTTGGCGAGAGGCCCAGTGGGCCCTGCAGGGTTGATCATGGCATCCTCCGAGACCGAGCCATTCCCCAGTGGCTGGAACAGAGACTTGGTCAGAACGGCCTGTTCTTGGCAGCAGGATGGGCTGCAGCCGGGAGCAGGGACACATGGGCGGGGTGGGCAAGGCAGGGAGGGGCGCAGGGAGGAGCACTTCGCTTCCCTGCAGCTCTGCCTCTAACCTCTCGGAAGCTCAGTTTCCTCAGCTGTAAAGTGGGGATAAATTCTTTCCCTTGGGGTTATAATACATGCGCACGATGGCGTCTTACCACTCAACAAATGAGGACTTCTGGAATGGCTGTTTTGTTTCCACTATCAGTATCTCTATCCTTTAAAGCAGAAAGAACACGCAGCTGCACGTTCTTTGTGATAGGTCCAGAGACAGGAAAGTTGAACACCTCAAAGGTTCACCAAGTAACAAACAGCACAGGAAAAATTCTTGAGATCATCAGTCTGAGCAGCCCCTCGTCGGTCAGATGAGGAGACTGAGACCCAGGGAGGAGAGGTGGGTAGTCCGGAGGCATTGGCAAAACCCATGTTTGGCCTGGGCCTGGTTGCTCCCAGGGGTCCCCAGATCAGGAACACAAGGCCCCTCCATCTCTGGCTCCCTTGGCCGGGCATGGCCTGGAGCAGAGGCTGGAGCTGGCCCAGGCCCCCAGCCAAGTCTCCCAAGGGCACAGGCTGCCCTGGAGGTGTCCTGGCCAGTGAATCTCATCTCACTTCAAAAGGGCACTGAAGCCAAAGAAAGAGGCTCCTATTTTCTGGGCATCTATGGGATGTTTCATCTCACTCTTTCTTATCTACGACCATGTGAAATGGGGAAATTGAGGCTCAGAGAGGTGATGTAACTTACTTGATGTCACACACCTGGTGAATGAATGGCTGAACTAGGATGCATATTTGAGACTGTTTGGCCCCAAACCCAAGCTCTTTCCCTAAGCCATGCTGCCATCCTGGCATGGCACGACACTGCACGCTTCTCTTTGGCTCAGAGTCCATGGTCTCCTAACTGGCCCTGCTTCTCTCAATCCTAGCTGCTGGGGGTGGGGGCAGAGGTGCACGTTTGAGCCATCTCTTGTTAGAAATGCAGAGATGACACCTCTGATCCTAGAACCCCTTAGGGGTGGGGTAACTGGGGGGATGAAGGAATGGGGGCCGGGGGGTGAATGAGATTTCACAAATGCTGTCACTCAGGGCCCTTGTCTCTGGTGAGGACAGAGGAGGCCTCTGGCAGAGCTAGGGTTAGACCAGAGAACTCCTGATGTCAGATTCATTTCCCATTAATCCTGTATTTATTGTTTTATGGTTTGGTCATAACCCAGCCACTGCTGAACAGGAACCCCCAGCAGCCGCAGAAGTGTCACCTGCTCAAGGGTGACTGAGTTTGAGGAAGGAACCTCATGGTGCAGAGACACACATAGGCAATGGCCAGGACCACTACCCTCTGTCTAGTGTGGGTCGTGGTCTCTTATCCGTCCCTCTGCCCACACTGGGCAATCGACCCGGTCCAGCAAGCATGGAGAGATTTTCTGGGTTGTTAAATACACAAGATACGAGGGTACTTCAAAAAGTTCATGGAAAAATAGAATTGAAAGATAATATGAATCCTTCCGTGAACTATTTGAAGACCCCTCACATATGTTTCCAGGCACTAGAAAAATAATAGCAAAGACACAGGGAAACTTGGGAGGCCAGGGCTGGGTCCTGCTCCCCCAGTCGGGCCAGTGGTTTCCAGGAGTGAGGACCTGAGGCTGTCCCCCATTCTTGGACCAAGGGTGGTTCTTTATCCTGAATCTGGGGAATGCGCCTTGGGCCATGGATTTGGTTCCATTCCTCAAAGCCCCTGTGCTTCCATGTGGAGGAGTGGAAGACACGCCAGGCTTTGCAGCCAGCCCCCGGCCACGGTTAGTGATCCCACTTCTGCCTTTCTCAGGCTGGGTCACTGGGAGCAAGTCACTATCCTTTGAGAGCCTCTATTTCTCCATCTGTAAAATGGGGGAAGTAATAATGCCCACCTCTGGTAGGAATTCCAAAGATTCAGTGACACAGGTCGGGTGAACGGATGGATGACAATATCTAGCAATTAGCAGTATCTCTTGGAGAGGAAGACACGGGTCTGGCCCCAGCACCTCCCTCTGAGTGTTTACACCCCTTGGGGCTCTCTTGCAGGGTGACTAAAGCATCCATTTTCCTCTTTGACCTGAACGTGGGCAAAGAAAACCCCAAACCCCTTCAATTCCACCTCCAGACTCTGCTAAAACCTGCAGAGAAGCCAAAAGGAAAATAAAGCAAGAAAAAGCAAAAGCCCTCAACTGGTCGTGTTTATAGGGCTCTTGCCTCTGACTCTCTTTGGGGGCCTTGTTCCGTCCTTCCCCCAACAGGGGGGCGTGGTCTGTTCCCCAGGGCCCCGCCGCCTGCTGGTCCCCTCCCACATCAGCAGGGGTAGGTTCAGGTGCCCCAGGAAGGATAAAGTGCCAGGCAGCTCTTCCCAGAGTGGGCGTGGATGGCCGCAGCGCAGGAACATGTGGCTGGTGTCCCAGGCACTCATGACCTCCCCATGGCAGCCTGGAGCTTACCCATCATATCCCAGCCAGCCCCTCTTCTGCAGCTGCAGGGGGTAAGCCCCAGGCCCCAGGATGCATAACCGGGACTGGCTCTAACGGTGGCCAGTGGTGCCCAGTGCGTCCATCTCCACGACTTTTCCCTCACTCTGCTTTGCCACCTTTGGCCTTGTCCAGCTTCCTGAGACAACAACAGCTGCTTCCTAAGCCACAGCCCAATATCTCATTTCCACCCCAGACCCCCCCTGGGGGGATCAGGCTGGAGTCTTTTGTCCTCATTGGCGCCAGGAAAGAAGGCGAAGGTGATGGGAGCCCCCCTTTCCTGCCCCCATGTTTAAGGGAATCAGAGTGGAGGCATCTCGGTAAACAGCTGAGGGGGGAAGGGCTGGGGCGGGAGGGTCAGGCGAGGCAGGTGGGGCTTCTGTTTCTGTAACTCTCTTGCTGCAGCCTCTGTATAGGACCGTTGGCTGGCGTTGCATAGGAATATTGCAGGGGGCACGGTCTGTTCTGCAGGGGCCAGTGAAGGGCCCTGGAGTAGGTAGCTTTGGGGCAGGTACATCTATCCAGGAAGATGGGCACAGGGACCCCTGTTCCCCCTGGCCCCCAGAGTGCCACACTCAGCCTGGGTCCCAGGGCAGCCATGCCACCTTGATCTCAGGGCCAAGGAAAGCTCAAAGAAAACGTGGACTGTTCCAGAAAGAGGTGAGCTGAGACTTGAGAAATCTGTGTATGGCTCTCCATTTGGGCCACCATCTGCTAGATGACCTTTAGGAAGACATTTACCCTCTCTGGGCCTCAATTTTCTCTTTTGCAAAAGCACACTAGAGTTTGTAGTTGTCATATTCTGGTATGCAGTGAGAGTCCTTGGACCCCAACCCTAGAGAGTTCAGTTGGGACTGGGGCCAGAGACATGGCATTTCTAACAGCTCCCTGATCGCCTGGGGTTTCTGAAAAGAGGTTTGCACCAAACTTAGAGAAAGGCTGGCCTAGATGATCTCAAAGTCTCCCTCTGAATCCTGCTGTGGTGTGCTCTGATTCTACACAGGGGGATGGGAAGGGGGTGCTGGGCCTGGCAGAGAGATGCTCACACGGCTCCCAGGAGGGATGAGGACGGTCACTCTGCCCAGCTCACACCCTAAAGGGCTGATCTCGGGGCTCATGCAGATTCCTCCAGGGTGGTGAGCAAGTCCTGCCTGCAGGTCAGACATGGAGTACCAGGAAGATAGAGAGGCGAGGACGAGGAATCCTGACTTCCAGTCCCGGGGGGATGTGAGCTTGGGCTTTGGCCCGCCCCTGTCCTTACCACGTGTGAGAGGAAGACGTTCTTGTTCCTTTGTGTCTCTGCGGCCAGCTGAGCTGAAAGAGACCCAGAAGGAGCAACTTGAAGCCAGAAGTAACCAGGGGTTGTCTGTAGCTGCTCCCAGAGAGGTGCACTGGTCCCCTCACGCCAGGGAGCAGGGGCTTCCCAGAGGGAGTCGGCAGGCAGCTGGGGCAGAGAAGCCCCTGCCAAGCACAGCCCCTTTGGAATGACCTGGCCTTTTGAGATCAATACATGGAGACCACCTTGCATGGGCCAGAAACTGGCTGGGGAAAGAAATCTGTGTGCTCAGGTCACTGCTTCTCAAAACTTAACGTGCATACGGACCCTCTTGGAAATTTTCTTATAATGCAGATTCTAATCAGCAGGTTGTGACTGGGGCCTGAGAGCCTGCATTTCTGACAGGCTACCAGGGGGTGGCAGTGCTGCTAGCTGGGGCCCACAGTTTGAGATATAAGCTGCCGAGTGGCTCAGAGGGTGTGACTGGGAATGCTCCTGTCCTACATGCTCCATTCCAGACTCCTCTGAGGGAATCTGGGGACATGGGCAAAGCTGACATTTCTTCCTGGGGTCACACAGGGAGGAGATAGGAAGCAGGCCCAGGATTCCCCCATAGCCATCTTCGTGGGACAACACTGTAGACATCTTCCTGACGCCACCATTTCCTAGCCATGCAGACACAGGGCAAGCTGCTTAGCTACTCTGTGCCCCAGTTTCCACCCCTGTAAAATGGGTGTACTCCACTGTGTTGAGGAGATTAAAGGAGATAAGCAACATACGCCACAGAACAGGGCCTGACACATGGTAGCAATTACCACTGCGATTTTACTTTTTTTTTTTCTTTTTTCGTGACCGGCAACGGATCGCAACCCTCAGTGTCACTCCCGTACTGGACCGGGACCGGCAACGGGATCGCAACCCTCGTTGTTGCACCCGCACCTCGCTCAGCCAGTGAGCGGCCGGTCTGTATGTGGGATCCGAACCCTCGGCGGGAGCGCCACCGCACTCCCAAGCGGCACACTGTAGCAGTGCACCACCGGGCCGGCCCGCGATTTTACTTTTGATCTGTGCCATCCAACATGGGACTCATGGGCCACACAGGCCATTGAGCACGGACATGTGATGACTTCAAATCACGTCGGGTTTCAAACATGCAATATGAAAGAATGAATGCAGAATATGTACTGTTACCATTATGTTGATTCCACGTTGGAATGATAATGTTTAAGATATATTGGGTTAAATAAACTGTATTATTAAAATTAACTTCACTAGTTTCTTTTTACTTGTTTCATGTGGCTACTAGAAAATTTTAAATTATGTATGTGGCTTGTATACTATTTCTGTTTGACATATTACTATATCTGTGACTTGAGGAAACTGAGGTTCAGGGAAGTTTGGTGACTTGCCTGAGGTCACACAGTGAAAAAGTGGCAGAGCTGGGATTTGAACCGAAGCCTATGAAAGAGACTGAGCACTAGAGGCCCAGTGGCAGGTGTGGGGCTCAATGTCTGTCCTGTTCAAGTGCTCAGTCCTGCGGTCTCCCAGGCAGTCGGTCCCCACACAAGGAGTGGACCTGCAGAGGCTGGACATGGATTTGCTGGGATCGATTGGGAGAGAAGGGACTGATGGGCTCAGACAGACGGGAGGAGGCTGTGGACCCCCTCATCCCCTCACTTCTCCATCTGAATTGCTTCTTCCCAGCATTGACCACCTTGTGGTTTCCTCAGAAGGGAGGGGCAGGGCTCCTGCTGCCAAAGCTCAGATGAACACACTGTGGCCCACAAGGTCTTTCCAGGGTTGTACGGGGAGGGCTGCAGTGAGCCTCCCACCCTCCTCCCACCCACCCTTGCTCACCTTCCTTTCTCCACTGGAGCCGGTAGCTGCCGAAGGTGATCAGGCCTGCATCCAGCAGAAGGGTCAACAGCACCAAGACCGGGGCCAATATGTGGACCATCGGGATGGACACCCTGGGGGAGAGATGTAAGGAGCCTAGTGGCTGTCACGAGATAAGCCAGAGTCTATGTCCTTTAGGGTCCCAGGAACGGGCTGAGAAAGCCACCTCCTTGTGTGGGATCCAATTCAATGCAGCAAAGACTGGCAGAGCATTTACTGTTGTTGGCACTTGACACACGCACATTATTTAATTAGCGTAGACCTTGAAGCCAGGCTGCCTGGGTTCAAACCCTGGTTCCACCACTTTCTAGATGGGTGACCTTGGGCAAGTGATTTAATCTCCCAGGGCGTCAATTTCTCCCTCGATAAAGTGGCTGTCATGAGGCTCAAACAGGTTGGGAAGTGTCAAGAGCTTAGCACAGTGCCTGACTCTTGCCAGAGTCTATGTCAGTGTCAGCTGTTAAATTCCACGGCCCCTATGTAATACGTGAAGAGATCAAGCAACATGCCAGATCACTCAGTGGTACCCGGGGAAGTTCTCAATGGCCTGTATCTGGGTTGGTGTCACCAGCATGGCATTCTTACTCTGAGTCCAGCCATGTCTCTTGTTTTTCCCCAAAAGATCAGAGGGCACCAGGGACCATGACATCTGGTCAGCCCATCAGTGTATGCCCTGTCTGGTGTGGAAACGACTCCCAGTCCCCAGTGCCACCCCCAGGATTCACTTTCAGCTGGGTCTGAACGTGCCAGGAGTTTCCTAGATGTCAGTAACCAAGTACAGTTATAACCTCCAAGAACCAATCCTTCAGGCTGGGTAAGGAAAAAAGAAGATTCTTTTGGATTCCATATTTTCATGCTTGGCACAGGGCTCAGTGCAAAGGGTACAGGCAAAAGCTACTGAACGGGGGTGGCTGTCCCTGAGGCTGGGGCCACGGTGGACCCTTCACCTCAGGCAAGCCTGTGTGTCTGGGGCAGCCAGGCCGCTGGCTCCTGTAGCGCAGGTTGTCCACTGTTCAAGGGCCCCTCTAAGGGGTGAGTGGGGCTGAAATCTGCCCTCCGTGCCACAGGCTGTGGCCATGACAAGAGGATGTGTCTGCTCAGAGGAGTGTTAGGTTCTTATTTGCTCAGAGGCACCTTATGGCTAAGTGACGGCCTGAGAGGTGACCTTGGTCGCCTGGGGCTCACCTGGGCTTGGAGCTGCTGCTGCTGGGGACTGGACTGGTGTGCTTTGCCGAGGTGGAGTCGAGCTGCACTGCTGGGTGGGAGATTCCTGCATAAGGAGAGGTCCTTGCATACGAAGAGGTCCCTGCGAACCTGGACGGCAAGGACCCTGTGAACGGAGAGGCCTTGGCCCCTGTCTTCCCCTGCTTGGCTGTGGTGACTGTCAGGTGGAGACCAGGAGAAGCTACAAGTTCAAAAGCAATGACTCAGCACCTTTCCTGACCCTTGAATTCCAGCAGCCCCAGACCTCTGACCCTTAACCCCTGGACCCTAGCCCCCTGGGACCAATGTCTCAGAACATCACCAGCTAAAGGGCACCCCAGTAAGCAAACAGAGGCCTAGATGAAGCCATTTGGGGCAAGCAGGCCACAGATCAGGTATACCCCACACCCGCTCAGTTTCCAGCTGTTTTTATGCCCACGGCCTATTCTCTCTGTGGGGAGGCACAGTCTACACCCGCCTATTCCATGACCCATTCCTGTGACACCTAAGGAGATACCTTCCTCCGCCAACCTCCACGTCATGGCCAGTTGTCACCTCTTCCCTCACGGAAAGGGCAAGTCCTCTCATCACCATCACACGCCCATGCCCTAGACCTATGCCTCAGTAAGGCCTTGACCTCCAGCAGCCACTAGGATGGGCAGGGCAGGTGGCAGGGATGAGTCCAGAGGTCAAGGCCCCAGGCCCTGCCTTTCTGACTCACCCCCAGACCCTGGATGGAGCGGACAGAGCGTGGGCTTTGGGGTCAGGCTGTGACCACTTCCTGGCCCCGCTCCTTCCCAGGTGACCTTGAGCAGGTGAGCTAACCCCACTGAGCCTCCAATCCCTAAGCTGGACAATCTAGCTCCCAGGCTTTGGGGCACCTGGGTGGCCAGAAAGCACAGTGCCTGGCACCAGGTAGGCATTCTCTGGGTGTTTTCTTAAATGGTGGGGAAGGAGGGACAGAAGAAGCATTCGCTCACTCAATTCTGGGGGCTGGGTTTGCCAGGCTTTTGCCCTGGGCTGCAGGTTCCTTGTAGCAAGAGGCTGGAAGGAGGGAGTCGGGGAAGGAGGACAGCAGGGCCCTAGAGGAAAGGGACAGGCTACTCTCAGGGGAGGCGCGGGTCACTCTCTGAATGACTTTTTCTTCCTGGGGAGCAGCTGGCAGCTCTCCCACCCCCATCTCAGCCCAGAGCATCACCATCTTTTCTCCCAACCAACCGGAGCCATGGGAGCCAGATTCCAGCTGATCGGCGGCCTTCCCCTCCTGCAGTCCCCTCGGCCTCCCGCTCAGCTCAGACCTTCAGCTTCCCATCCCCCCCAACTGCTCACCAGCCTGCCTCTTTCATGCCACCCTTCACCCTGATGCCAGTTTTGTCTCTTGGATCCCATCACTCCTGCTTCAGATGCCAGGGGCTCCCCATCGCCTATAAGCAGAAGTTCAAATTTTGGAACATGCCTTTCAGGCCTTTTATACCCAGACTTCAAACCACCTGGTCAGTTTCACCTCTTTCACTATCAGATGCTCCAGCCATACAGAGCTGCCCTCTGTTCCCCACTGAGTGAGCCTCCTGCCTGTCTCCATGCCTTTGACATGCTGTTCCTCTGTATGTGATGCCTTTCCTTTCTGTACCTGCTTACACACGTCTTTCTGTCCTTCAGCACCAGCTCGAAAGTCAACTCCTTCCTAAGCCTTTCTCCAGGACAAATCTCTTTTTCCTTTATGCACCCACAGTACCCCGTGCACGCCTCCAGAGGAGCTAATACTCAATTATGCTGTTGTTACTTGTGTACTGGATCTCCCCACTAGGTTGGGACTCCTCAAAGGCAAAATGCATGTCCTCTGCACCAAGCACAGTGGGCAGAACTGGTGCGGCCAACCCCCAGGAGCTGCCCAGCCCCCCACTTGCCCAGGCCCATCGGTCACCTCCCCATGTGCCGACATGTGCTTTCCCTCTTTCTCGGCCATTCTTTATTCCAACCCAAGTTCTAACACTTGGTCAGTTTATTCTCGGATTTGTCTAAGTAGACTATAGAATCTTTTGTAAATAAAGAGTATTTTTCTTTTTCTTTCTGATATTACACTTCTTTATCCTGTCATATTTCATTGCCAGGGGCATCTGGGCAATGACAAATAAAAGAAATGGTAGTGGGTACGTGTGTCCTGTTCCGACCTTCCCAGAAATTCTTCTGTTTCACCGTACTCAGTGATGTTCTGGAGATGGCTCGCACTGGCTCTAAAGAGCTGATGGCTGACTTTTCAGGAATTTTATGAGCCAGTTGTTAAACTGTGGATGGCTGGAAATTGGCCATGGCAGGAACATTTACAGCACAGAAACTGGCAATCACTACAAGTCAGTTGTCCCCAGCCCATTGCTACACATTGACCGGCACACCACTGCCATTAGTCTTCATTCTCAATATCCCAGCTTTCATCAGAACAGGCCACCAGGGTCTGATACAGGAGGATAATATAATAATTCAAATATCATATACGAATAAATAATTATAAATGAAGGTAAGCAAAAAACACCAGAGAGCTGCAAATATAGGTAAAATTGATCATAACTAGGTAAAAATAAGGTCTGAATACTGATAATAATTGGAGGAGATTAAGAGAATCTTGTAAATAATGGTGAATAGATTCAATGTGGTTTTGATGCTCCTGTTATTATTCAGCGAGTTCAAGTTTATTCCCTGAATTAAAATACCCATGAATGACAGGGATCTGGTGGTGGGGATGGGCCTGGGGTTGGGATGGGTCCTGGAGATGGGGTCAGCCGAGGAAAAGAGCAGACACCAAAGCCAGCACCTGCGTTTGAGTCCTGGCTCCACCCGTCCTGCCATGAGACCTTGGGCAAATCAGTTAGTCTCTCGGAGCCTCGGTCCCCCCTCTGTGAAATGGGGATACAAACACCTCCCTCACCATCACCGACTGGCAGACTGGGGCTGCCTGCTGCCCTAGGCTCTCTCTGTTTTCTTTCTCCTTAGTTGAGCAGGTCCAGATGGGGTTCTGGACACCCAGAGAGGTGCTCTATCCCCTGCCCGGGCCCCAAAGCCCCAGCCCCTACCCTGCAGTGTCCCCAAGCTCAGCCAGCTGCTCCTTCAGGAACCCTACCCAGAAGCTGGTTTCCAGGCACTCCTAGTACCTGTCCGTGGACTCCAACATCTGGGGAAGAGCAGGCCCAGGTGTGGAGCTGAGGCCGCAACTGGAGCGAGGCCAACATGGCCATGTCGTAGGCAATGCTGTGGGCTGGGATGCAGGAACAGCTAGTCCAGCTGCAGGAGGCTCAGGTACAGCTCTGACAGCAGGGAGGGGGTCTTCTTTACTCCCCGGGATCCCTATCTGGTCCCCAACCCACACAATCTCCCTCCAGCACATCTGGGCAGGGAGGAAGGGCACCAAGCATAGAGTTCAACAGATGTGGGTTCAGTCCTGCTCTGCCATCTACTAGTGTGTGACCTTGGGCAGCAAGAGTGAAAGAACAGCTGAGACTCATGCGGACTGTCTGTGCCCCAGCACTGCTCAGCTCTGGATCTGCACCATCTCACTGAGTCCTCCAAGCCCCATTAGGTTAGTACCAGGATCACGGCCTTTTGTAATGGGATCCATCGCTGATGACCTACCCACCCCTCTCCCCACCTCTGCATCTCCCATCCCCCAGCCAGGGGAAGGAGAGTCATTTGTTACCTGGAGAGACAAGCAGAGAGACCAGGAATGTCTCATCGGGGCCCAGTCTTTGGACTCCACACCGGTACTTCCCGGAATCCCGCAGGGTGAGGTCCCTCAAGGTCACGGTGAACTGGAGCTCTTGGCGGCTGTCGCGGATGGACACCCTGCCCTCTGTTGTCTCCTGGCCATCTGCTCCCGTGTAGATAGTGCCAGAGCAGTGGGAGAAGAGGAGCCAGCCCTCCTTGCACCAGTATTTCCTGTTCTCCCTCAGCTCTTCGCTGTAGGTGCACTGCAGGGACACAGTGTCACCTTCAAACCCGCTGATCTCCTTTGGGCCCTCCAGGGCTTCATAACCTGAAACCACAGTAGGGGTGGAGGTTGGAATTCCCTGGATCCAAGTACCAGGGTCAAGACCAGAAGTTT